TGCACAAAACAACTCCATTCGCGAAGCCAGATTGAGAAGCTTGCATTGTTTCTATATCCCGCTATGGAGCAGCAATGGAGGAGGGCGAAGATGGTCGGAGCTGGGCACAGAAGGCGCCGCCAGGTAAGAATCGCCGATGATAATCACGGGGAGGGAGAGGAGTCGACAGCAAAGAGCTCCCCACCTTCTGTTCGTGAGCAGATAGAGTTGGTGGGGATTGGGGATCTATTAAATAAATATAAGGAGGGCATTGTAGTACTTTTGCAATTTGTGTTCACAAATACCACATAAAAAATAACCCATTATTTGGACCATCCAAACAACACAATTTAACTTTTAATTTCCTCAAATAACACACAAATATCACATTCATGATTTGTGAGTTATTTCACTTTATAAATACCACACAAAAAATTAACCCATCCAAACGACCCCTAGATCTACTTGTACAGTTTGCTTTCTTTTGGGTCCTTTCTTGTAATTCTCCTTATACTCGTGTTTACTGTTGAGGGTATAAGAGACGAGAGTGCTTTAGCCGTAGCGCTAACCCTAAGATAAGGTTAGCAGCCGCAAAATCTAAAACTAAAACATCACTAGTGATCATAATTGAGTTTCATGCTCACCACTGTGGAATAGTTCCTATATTCGAAGAAACCACGTAAATTTTGTGCATTCTTTATTTTTTGCACTTTACTTGTTTCAGAAAACGACCCAGTATTCTTCAAAAGATCCAATATTTTGTCATTATTCAAAGCCAAGTTATTTTCAGTAAATTAAGTTTTAGTAATATTATTGTTTCTACAAACTATTGTTCAGCTTTTTAGTTTGGGTTACTCTAGGAGCGTGAAATGGTCCGGTCCGAGACCATTTGTTTAGTTTCGGTTGAAGGTAGTTGATTAAATAGTTGCTATTATTTATATAAACAATTCATCAATAATTCAGAAAACCGTAATGTAGTAATTTGTCTAGTCCCAATCTAGCCCGGTTGTAAGATAATGAATTTATTTGCTTTATATAAGACCCATTGGAATCACGAGGCAAATTCCACCCTGGAGAGCGGATCCTATGACTAGGGTGGTCCTTAGTCATTTGATTAAACCCCTCCTAGCCATTAGATCTGGACACTTTAATCTAATGGTTAAAAAGTGGAAAGGGCTATTTAATTAATGACAGGGGTAGTTTGGGTATTATGGAAAATTATGAAGTATACAAACCGGATTTACAATCAGTACAAACCATACAAACATACGAACAGTACAAACTAGAGCGACAAAACATACAAACATTACAAACGTATGAACTGTACAAACAATACAAACTAGACTGACAAACAATACAAATCATACAAAAAGAAAAAACAACCGGGTTGACTTTGGAGGCTCCATCCCTATATAGAGGGGCTCCTTCCCAAAGTCAACCCGGGTGTTTTTTAGACATACAAACAGTACGAACATGGTGGACAAAAATGACAAACTAGACCGACAATCCATACGAACGGGAAAAAACACCCGGGTTGACTCTGGAGGCTCCATCCCTATATAGAGGGGCTTCTTCCCAAAGTCAACCCGGGTGTTTTTTAGCATACAAACAGTACGAACATGATGGACAAAAATGACAAACTAGACCGACAATCCATACGAACGTGAAAAAACACCCGGGTTGACTTTGGAGGCTCCATCCCTATATAGAGAAGTTCCATCCAAAAGTCAACCAGGTTGTTTTTTAGACATAAAAAACATTACAAACATGGTTGACAAAAATGATAAACACGATTCACAAAAATAACAAAGTTTACGAACATTACAAAAAAACTGACAAACATTACAAAATAACAAAGCGTAAAAACATTACAAAATAAACCGACAAACAGTACAAAGCATACTAACCGTACAAAAATGTCACTAAAAATGACAAACAATACAAAAATCTATACAAACATTACAAAATAGGTCAGCAAACATTACAAATCCAAACACTGTCACCGGGAAATTTCCTCCGGTCACTGGAAATCTCTCTCTCTCTCTCTCTACATGCAGAATGCCATGTCCAAACAATTCCCCAATTCCCCATCTCTCTCACACGCATAATGACATGTCCAAACAATTCCCCAATTCCCCATCTCTCTCTCACTTACCGAATTCACCAGCAGCAGCCCAAAAAAGCATGCTCCTCCAGGGGTCAGCTTCTCCTCCGCGAATTTGATCCAAAACCGAGTCACGGCTCTCTCGCAAGGATCGGCGGGAAGCAGTGGGTAGGATTTGGAGAATGAATCGTCCACCGCTATGGATTCGAAATTCACCGGTGGCAGGTACAAATTTCACCGGCGGCCAGGATCGGAGAGGGTGAGTGGTACGTGACAGAAAATAATCCCACCACCTCGGAAAATTTCCAGGACCGGCGGCAGGTACAAAATCCCACCGGCGGCCGCGATCGGAGAAGTCGAATGGACAAAGCTCTTTTTTATTTTTTTATTTTAATTGTTAAATAAATAAATTAAGTAGTTACCATCTTGCCCTTCATTAAATCAGATAAATCTGAACCATTAGATTTTAATGAGCATCAATGGCTGAGATTGACTTAGTCATATGACTAATGGACCCCCCCCCTTAGTCACCTGATCTTAGCCCCTTGCAATGCAAGTTACATAACCTGATAACGAGGAGGAGCACTTCTACAATGTTATATAGTATTTGTGCTTTAATGTACAACTTAAAGTTGTACCATAACATTAAATGTATAAGTTTAGGTTGTACCATAAAGCAATTTGTATTGGTGCGCCTTATGCGGTACAGAAATAGAAACAAACTTACACTGCTTGAGAGACTGGAGCAAGATCAAAAGAGTTTGGGAAAAAATTGTAGCAATAACACAGCAGCAGTTCTTTTCAGCTAACCAGGAAGACTGGTTGAAGATAAATATGGAGAGCAACGAGAACAGTGGAGAGACAGGGGAGTGGGCCAGCTTCTTTGCTTTGGTTAGTTGGTACATCTGGAAACATCGGAATGATTATATCTTTAAAGCAATCAGATTATCCAACTATACTCTCATTAACTACATTGTATCGAAGGCAAAAGACTGGACAAGTACTTGGAAGAGGGCTATGGAAACAAGAGATTCACTGACTAAGCCAGCAAGGGAAGAGCAGTTAATAGGTTGGTCTCCACCACAGTCAGGTTGGAGCAAGCTAAATACGGATGGAGCCGCTCAGGAGAATCCAGGAATTATTACTGCAGGAGGAGTCCTCAGAGATAGTGAAGGAGATTGGATAGCGGGTTTTGTTTGCAAGATAGGTATCGGATCTGCCATTCTGTCAGAGCTATGGGGCATCCACCAAGGACTCGAACTAGCTTGGAGGAAGGGAATACAATATCTGATACTTGAAACAGATTCGAAACTGGCAGTGGAACTCATCAATAAAAGATCAGACCCGGTATATCCTCATGCCACCCTTCTAGACTCTATTCGGAGAATGCTTGCTCAGAGTTGGATTGTTCGTTTGGTTCATACATATCGCGAAGGGAATAGAGTCGCGAACTGGCTCTCGAAACACAGTCTCGTCTATCCCTTCGGTACGTATGAATTAGATGAACTACCAACAGATTTAGAGAGACTCCTACGTGAAGACAAGATTGGGATCAGCTTCCCTCGGCAGGTGATTATAGATGGTTCAAATGAGTGACTATTTTACTGGTCTTGGTTTTTGGCTTGTGATAGGATTTGCTTGGGAGCTTTTGAGTATGTTTTCTTCCTGTCGAAAGGTGATCTGCTCCTCCCCTTGAGCACTCTGTAACTGTTTCTCTGGCTTTTGCCTCCTCTCAATAAAAAAAATCATTATGTTATGGTACAACTTTACAACTTAAAGTTGTACCATCGCATAAATATACAAGTTCAAGTTGTACCATAAAAGAATTTGTACAAAAAGTATAGATACAATATGAAGTTGTATCATAACATAAATGTACAATTTTAAGTTATACCATAAAGACAAAATCCTATAGCATCAATACTATATAGCATTGTAAAATTTCTCCTCCAGGAGAAGGAAAGAGAAACATGATACCCACAATTAGGGATGGCAATGGGGCGGGTTTGGGGCGGGTTTGCCTAAACCATCCCCATCCCCATCTTCAAATACCCAAACCCTTACCCGCCCCATACCCATGCGGGGGAATGTTTTGCAAACCCATCCCCATACCCGTGGGTTTCGGGTACCCATGGGTAATACCCATCCCCGTACATCCAACATTATTATACCTAAAACTTACAAGAAAAGTTTTAATTATAACCATAAACAAACCTATTATATCACGAAGTCAACAAAACACGGTCATTTTCTAAATACGATTCAAAGAATATGATCCTAAAACATCCATTAATACATAATATAGACTATAATATTTTTTAAATTATTATGCTCTAACTCTTGATACATTTACTAAGTAATAATTAACTAACATAATTTTGTTGACAAGGGGGAAAGTGAAAGAGTGGAAGGAGAATTGAGGGAAATGAATTAGGTTTTGATTAAGGTGGTTACTCAATTGCATTTCTACTTATTATTTTCTCGAGTTATCATCATCATCATTGATAAATTACAATTTAATCCACGTATTTTTTTATATGTGAAGAAATTCTCTTGGTGGGGCGGGTATGGGTATGGATATGGGGCGGGGGAGGCTAAAACCATACCCGCCCCATACCCATCAAACCTTTTGCGGGTTTTACCCATACCCGCCCCATACCCGGTCAAAGCGGGGATTCCCCGCGTTGATTGGGTATGGGGCGATCGGGTACCCACGACCATGGGTTTGATTGCCATCCCTACCCACAATTGAAAGAAAGAGAAACAAGATACCCACAATTGAATGAATCCATCATATGATAGAAGAAGAAAAGAAAAGAAAAAAGTACGACGGCACTTGTGATTCCAAGCTACACAAATGGATGAGAGTTGCAAAACCAAATTCCCTCAACCATCCAAAATACAACCAACCACAAAATCATGCGTTGACCTTCCTGCAGTTGACCCGAATTTGACCGAGGTTCCCGGTCAACGGCTTGATATTCCCCATCTTGACCATCGAGCTCGCAAAATCGAACCAGAAGCTCCGCCCATTGTTCGAACCGTAACCCTTCACAACCGAGTCGGTCGACCCACCCGCAAACAGCGCCTGGTCGGAGTGAAGCAGCCCTTTTTTCTCCACCAAGTTCTTAAAATACGAACCGTCGAACCTCGCCGGCGAACCGTCCAGCGAGCCAAGGTTGGCATCCCCGGAGCCGGCGAAACAGCTTGCCCTCCTCTCCCTCGCGAACTCCGCATCAATATTGTCCGCCGTCTCGTTGAAGATCCGGTTCCTGAAGAACTGACACTGCGAGAACCCGATGGTGTGTCCCCCGGACAGCGCCACGAGGTCACGCTCGTTGAGCCCTTGCTTCTGGAAGCTGCTTTTCAGCGCGGGGAGGTCCATGAACGGCGACGGTATGTCGTTGTTCGCTGTGGTCCTGCTCGCTGACGTGGAGTCCCTTCTGCCTAGCTGTACCTCCCAGCTGGGCCCGCCTAGCGCCACGACCGAGTCACGCGCGGCCACGGCTAGGATGTCGGCGCAGGACACGACGGGCTTGCCGCCGCAGGCCTTGTCGACCTCGGCTTTGATCATGTCGATGACTTCGAACCCTCGGGCCGAGTTGTTGTTCGGGAGGGCCGTCTTCTCGCTGTCGATCGTTGGCGTCGCGTCCAAGAGGATCGACCCATCGCAGCCCTGCAAGCAACGTATGGATTATTAGTCACATGTGAGACTAACCAGTTGATTTCAATAACTCGAGTTGCGCATTATATATACCTGGACGAAGCAGTCATGGAAGTGGAGGCGAAGAAGAGAGGCGCCCATGCGGCGCTCGCGGGAGACAGCAGCCTCGACGACGCGTCGAATGGCAGGTAAGGCCTTGGGGCAGATTTTGGAGTAGTAGTAAGGAGATAGCGGAGAGAAGCCTGCGGAGGAGGCCGTGGCAGCTGCTGCAACAGCTAGAAGTAGTAATATTGTGAAGAAAATGGCGCGATGTGAATTGGCCATGTTGCTTTGCTTCCAAAAGGAAATTGATTTAGCTTTGTCCTGGAGATTGTAGCTAGTGAAGGACTTAGCTTGTTTGTGTGGGTTATGGGAGAAGCTGAGGAGTTTGTGGGTATTTATAGAGGTGTTGGAAATGATAAAGAATGAGATTGGGAGGGAGAGTGTGAAGAGACTTGGCCAACTGCATGGACTTTCCAGGAAATATTTGGTTTGGTTCCTTAATGTCAAAATCTCAACAGCTCAGTTGGTAGACACAAGGTAAGGGTTATTTTAATACAACATCAATAATCGTTGTCCTATACCTTTGCCAAATTCAAATGAACTATAATTATATTGCCCACGCAGCCATATGTTAGTATTTTTCATATAAAGTTTCTGATTTTAAATACATGTTGTATTTTTATGTAGGTGAATTTTAGGACCGAAAATATTATATAGATCTTGAATTAACTGAATTTACAGGCATGATACTATATCCTAACTTTTAATTGGGAAACTCGATTTGAGTCCTAATTATCTAATCATAAATCCTAATCCGTGCCTAAGATGATGCATCTAGAATTGGATGTACTTCAACGAATCAAAACCGTCGATTATTATTTCTAATTAAATTGCTCTTATGGTATAGGATCTAGAAAACAGAACCTAGGTTTTACTCGTCGGGGTTTAAGGTATACTGCCATGCTCAGAACTCCAATTAATTCAAGGTATATGTGTATGTATACTTAGACGAATTAGAACCATCGTTTATTATTTATTTAATTCCATTGTGCTTATGATTTGAGTTTAGAGAATTAGATAATGAGGTTCACTTATACTCTGGTTAATTCATGATCTAAATAGCGAATTAAACTTGCTAGGCGTACGGTCAGCTTAGCTTACGTGTTCAACGTACATAAGCCTAAATTGTATATATAAACCCCAACCACAAGATCAAATTAATCATAAAAATAATAACCAACCTTTCTGATTTGCCGAAGCATATCAAAGTACATGTGAATGCAAGCGTACGATTATATGCCAAGAGTAAAGTACTAGTTTCAACATATGTATTGGTCGGTTAGTTTAGGGTAATTCTCCAAATGCAACATCAATGGGGTTTTAAATATATGCATTATTATTATCCGGGATAACTATGGTATCAAGTTTCATCGGAGCAGATCCTTCGCACCTACGACAAACATTAGAGAACTTTTCCAAATGACAAACAGAGCTAACTGCTACTTTTTTTTCTTCTTATTAAAGCTATACGTTTCGACTCTTTATCATCGGAGCAGATCCTTCACAGCTACGACAAACACTTGAGAACTTTTCCAAATGACAAACAGCTAGCTGCTAGCTACTTTCTTTTTCTTATTGAACTGTTCTAATCCAACAATTTAGTTTACGCTGCTGCATGTAGGAGGAGTGCCCATTCAAACTTTGACACTTTATTCAGGCAGTTTGTCTGTCGTCATACGGCAGCAACGGGAGAGCAGTTTGATTATTAAGTATATATAATATATATATGATGCTTGCGTAAATTAGGGTAGAGCAGTTGAGCATCCGGGCCAAGAACCCAAGATTACGCGCAATTCAAAATGTCAACGACGCTTTTGTGTTTTGATACGGTCCGCAATCTTACACGGTGTTAGCGAACTAATCACTTGGTCTCAATAACTTGAGTTGTTGAGAAATTATTTTAGTTTGCACAGGTTGAACCCTTGTATTGCTAAACCACGAGGCTTTAGTTTGCACAAGTTGGACATACCATCCCTTGTGCTAAACAAAAAAAATTAAATGGGAAGTGGCTTTCGGCAACACTTCAAATATGTTGTAAAAAGTGGCTAAATTGTTGCATATACAATATGGAACACTTTTAATAGTGTCCCCTATAGGTGGTGTTGTATAAAGTAACATGTAACATTTTTTACCTTTTGTAACAACAAATATATGTGTTGCATATGTATACTCTTGCAACACCATTTTTGGCAACACTTTTGACTAGTATAACCGACATGTATATGCTCTATTCGTGACGAGTTTTTTCATCACATAAAATGCATTCAATCGTGATAACTTTTGCTTGTAACAAACACTATAAATTTGTGTCGAGTTATTCCCTTCACCAAATGTATTTTAACTATCACCGGTTTAACTTGACACAAACGAGTCTCACTTCTGACGGTACTTTTGTGATAAAAGGAGGTTTTCGTAACAGTGTGAGTGTCACAAATTCATTTTTTTGTGACAAATTTATTGTTCCAATTACAACATTGATAATACCTTAAGTTATGGGGTCTTTGTCACTAAAGAACACTTTTGTCACTACTATTTTGATCACAGACGACAATATTAGTGGCGACTATGTATTGTATGAAATAGTATATGCTAGTGCTTATATTTTTCTGTGACGTAAAATAATCAAATTTAAAGCTTGAATGTTTATGAGCTGACTGATCATGGATGCTTCGTGGAATTCTTAGAGTGAGGTATATTTATGAAAAATTGAAAATAAAACATACATATCTTGACCAATATTCAATCTCTCTAACAATATGAACTAAATAATACAAAAAACTATCTAGATTCTCTTCAGATCAATTGGAAACCTCGTGGATATCTTTATAAAAACAACCCTTCTCTTCTTCGCTTCCTTAAGCTCTACTTGGAGAGAGTTAATTGTCAATTGCTGATTTCCATGCCGCCTTCGCTTACTCAACTAAATTTGCAAAAACCTTGTACTGAAACCCTACCCACAACTCCTTCTGCCCTTGACTCCTTGGATTGTTTCTTGAGATGGATAAGTCACTAGAAGTACTTCAAACCTGTAAAGCATAGTTATGGGAGAGCCCCAAAGAGAGAATTGAATGAAAATGGTGATCAGTTAACATGAAAATCCAAAGACCAAGGGTTGTTTCTTAGTTTCTCATGAAACTGGAGATTTTTGTTTTCATAAAAACTATAAATATTCAGTAAAAAATATGAATAGAACGCAAATACGCCGGAGAAGCAGCGGCTTATAAGGAAGAAGATAAAGAGGATGTCGTGCCGACTTACAGGAAGCGTTCAACGAGACTAATTGCTTCTGGATCAAGACTCAGTAGCAGCACTCGAAATTGGGAATCGTGAGAGCAGAGGAGAAGTTGGGCATAGACGAAGTGGAGAAGACGTGAATTTGAAGGGTTTTCCTTGTTGAAAGCATTGAGAAAATCTTTAAGAGAAAAATCAGGGATTAGCTATTAAACTAGTTTCCCTTTGTAAAATAGTAGTCTAAGAAGAACTTATATCGTTCAAGAATCTTCCCACTGACATGATTTCGAAATTTTCACTATTTTGTAGATAACTACTAATATTCTTCACTTATAACTTCCGTGTACAGCTAATTAAAACAATTTTTCTATTTGTTTAACTAATAACATCATTTGTTTTACTTACCTTTTATCAACATGTAATAGTGAAAAAACTAGTAAGTCTTAATATTTTATTCACTAAAAACGTTATAATCACTTAAATAATAAAAACAACTATTGTTAGATCTAATTGGGGAATACATAAGTAATCAAACTATAACTTTGTGATATGAATTTCGTAATAGAATTATGTTTTTGTGACAGAATTGTGTCACACCATTAGATTTGTGTGACAAAGTTATCGTTGAAGTGTCGACAACATAGGCTGCAAACTTTTCCTGTCACATAGGTTATACTCCGGTTACAATGTCTTTGTAACAAAAAGACGTTTTTGTTACGAGGTTTTGTCACCTGTAATACAACATTCACGACAGCAGTGTATCGTAAAAAACAGTATATATTAGTTACGATATCATAGTGTTGCTTAAAATGTAAAGAATAGGCAACACATTTTATTTTATTGCACAAGTGTTGCATATTATTGGACATATGCAACGAAATTTAAGTACGACTAATTTTTGTTGCATAAGATACACATTAAGCAACACGTGATGAAAGTGTTGCATATTTTTATTTTATGTAACACTTTTAAAAATTGTTGCAGGGCAAGTGTTGCCAAAAGTCATTTTTTCCGTAGTGTGACTTTTCGGTTCTAAGCTCAAATATCATGTTAGCAAATTAACCACTTGATCCCAATAACTCGAGTTGTTGGGAAATGATCTGTTAAGCTCGATCAAAAAAACTTCAATTGGATGTAAATCTCGTGGGACTGGGTAGACCTGGGCTCGAAACTAAACGTCTTGCTTTCCGAGCAGGTTTGAGCATTGAACCGAGGAAAGAGGGCTTGAAGAGCCTTTCAATCTCTTACATATAGTGGCAGATGGAGCCAGAGGAGAGGCTAAGAATTTACGTTAATGATGTGTTTGGAAATGATTACGTAATTCATATATAATGTATTTGAATCGCATATATTCAAAATGTATGTATTTAAAAAAACTTGCATTTGAATTACATGTAATTCAAATTTGTTGTTTAGATGCTCATTTGTAATTATATTTTGAATTTTATGGCTTTTTATTTTAATTTTGAATTTTTTGATCACAATTCAACGATTGAAAAACCGTACTGTATCGGTAATTCGATTAGAAAAATCTCATATCGGATGCTAAACCGATAAATGATATTTAGCGTTATGAAAAGGTTGAACCGTGATTAAATCATAGTTTCAGCATAAAACACCATTCTACAGCCCTCTGTTTGCTCCATCGACTATCGCCCACCCTCCCACCCGCTCTCTCCCTACCCTGTCTGCGCCATTATATGATTTTATAGAGGCCAGGCGTGTTTCTTTCTCGCTGGTTTGGATTTACGGTTTTCTTGTGCAGTGGGTAGAGATAGAGCATGTCGGATTTTACCCACCACACGCGAGGCAATCTTTGGGGCGAAAATTGTCAACCCGTTGTGGGTAGGGAAGGCAATTTACCCACCCATGGGTAATTTTGCCCAAACCCAAGTAGACCCATTTATTATGGCTAGGGTTTGGGTGATGTGTGTATGGGTTTGGGGTTTGTATATGGGTTTGGGTTAGATATGGATATTATCTAAATGGGT